TGTACGCAATGAAACATATTATTAAATGGTGATACCCAATATAAGAAATTTAAGGGTAATTTTCATTTTACTACATTGACGTTTATTAAGTTTCAGCCTTCGATATATCCAGTTTTTTTCGTCTTAGTCGCATACATAACGTGTATTTACATATCACTTTTATACCTTCGTTAGTTTGACTGTCATGTTCTTCCTTAAATAATGACGTGCCAATTAATATTGCCATGTGAACCCACCCATATCTTGCCACATGGACTAAATAATGAAAATATATTTAATTGATTAATTACAATTTAAAAAAAAATTAAAACTAAAATAAATTTATTTTTTTGTTAGAGCATCTGCAATGGTGAGGGTCATTTCAAATTTATTTCAAATAATTGAATTTTTGACTTGCAGTGGTAAAAGTTCAATTCATTTCAAAGATCAATATTTCATTTCAAAGATCAATAGTTCATTTCAGATGTCAATAAAATGAACTCTAAAATGAAATTCATTTCAATAAGCTGGCCCACCATAATAACTCTACAGCCTCTCTCTCATTGAAACATGGACAACATTACTTATTACTTATAATTTTTTCATTATATTCAATTAGTGTAAACTAACCGTTATTTTTTTTTTTCCAAAGCTACTAGCCGATTTATTTTACTGTTTAAAAAAACAAACGTTAATATATATATTAGCCATTACTGATTTGTATTAAGAATTTTGCTTGGTTTCAATATGGTCAAAGTCCTCTTTGTTTTGGTTTCTATGTGGTCAAATCTTTGTTTTGATTTCTATGTGGTCAAGTGTTTGTATTGGCTTCCATGCTTTGAATTTATGCATGCTTAACCAGATTCAATTTTGCGTATTCGTATTCAATTTTGTTAAGCAATAACTTGAAAAAGATGTTGCTCCAATATGTCTCATTTAATCTCAACTTCCAATTCTTCATAAAAAAGTGTTAATATAATATTGTCACCAACCAAATAAAATTTTATTGTTAATATATGTATTTGAAAGATCTATTTGAAACCATGTTAATTGTATAATTCTTATTGTAATTAACTTTATTCGTTTTATTTTATTCAATCATTTAAAAAGATATTTAAAAATATAGTTTTTAATTTGTAAGCTATTGAATTGCATCACTGCAAGTGAAACTGTAGTTTAGTTCAATAGAATTCATGTCAAAATTAGTTACCTCACTATCCTTTTTCTATGTTCAACTCTAGTTAGACTAGATGAGGTTTCAATGCGTCTATTGTCTCTAACCCCTTTAATATTCTTTTTTTATTTTTTATAATACAAGCGATAGTCTAAATTACAAAAAAGAGCCTCACACACACAATCAAGATGCCACAGAACACTACTAGAAAATTGAGTAGAAGCCATTGTTTTCTCAGCCACTGTATTTAAATGGTGGCCATTGTTTCAGTAGGCTAAACCTCTCTAATATTCTTTAATTTGAAAACTAGTTGCATAATATATTCATTTACTTATGTGCAAGGAAATAATTTAGGTTTGTACTAGGGGAGGAAGAACCTGCTAGTAGTGCGGTGAGTAATTCGACCAAAATCAGCAGGCTGGGCAGCTTGCCAAACAAAAATCTGACCCCCCATGATACAAAATAAAAATAAAAAACCCTGGTCAAAAAGCTCTCAAAGCGTGTTATCTAGTGAAGGTTGCATGGTTTGTGCACTTGTGTGACATGCACATTTTCACACATCAAAACAAGGACTAGTCTCATGCATTGCCACCTGTGTCCACCTATTCCTCTCTACCTCACAACTTGGCACTCTGGGATTATTATCTCCTTCCTTCCTCCACCTCTCTCTCTCTCTCTCTCTCTCATCACCTTTAAATTGCAAAACCATGCCTCCCAAATCACACCAACTCACCAAAAGTTTACACATTCCTAAGTCTCTCTTGCCCTGCCACTATACTTGTATCTCTTGCTCTCTTACCCATTATTTAAAGCATTCATAGGATTTCTGCTCCCTCCCAAACAAACCAATATCCAATCAAATTAGAAATATAACTAAACCCTAAATTAGTCAGTGGCTTCGTTTTGTTTTCCAATGTTGTTAATGTTGTTATTGGTTAGTTCCATTTTGGTTTGCTATGCTGGAAACTTGAACGAAGATTTCGACATTACATGGGGAGATGGCCGTGGAAAAATACTCAACAACGGTCAGCTCCTAACCTTGTCACTCGACAGAGCCTCTGGCTCAGGCTTCCAATCCAAGCACGAGTATCTCTTTGGAAAAATTGACATGCAGATCAAGCTTGTCCCTGGAAACTCTGCAGGCACTGTCACTACCTACTATGTGAGTCACGTGCCTCTAATTTTATATTAATATTTGTATAAAACTTTTTAATTTTTGGAGACTGGTGAGTCTTATATTAATTAATTATATATGCTATTTTGTTGCAGCTATCATCAAAAAGGTCAACATGGGATGAGATTGATTTGGAGTTCTTGGGGAATCTGAGTGGTGATCCTTACATTCTTCACACCAATATATATACCCAAGGCAAAGGCGATAGAGAGCAACAATTCTACCTCTGGTTCGACCCCACCTCTAATTTTCATACCTACTCTATCCTCTGGAATCCCCAACGCATCATGTAAGCAAAATGTTATTTTTCAAACAGTCTAACATGTTATGATGTCAAATTTTATTTCTTTACGTGGGTGTAAAACAAATGTTATTTTATCAACACTTTGACAAGTTATGTTGTTATATTCTTAATAACATGTTAAATTTTATTTCTGTACGTGGGTGTAAAACAAATGTTATTTTATCAATACTTTGACAAGTTATGTTGTTATATTCTTAATTTTATTAGTAAAGGGGTATTTTTTGGGGGTTTTTATGGGAAATGAAAAATGGGTGAGTTTATGTCTATAATATAAGAGTTACATGGACCTTTCTCTTAAGAACCCTAATTTTATTTACCACGTTATTCTTATTTGAAAACATGGTAATATAAAATTGCCCACATATTAAACGAAAATTTATTTGATGAATTTAAACTAAATTAAATTATAATTTTCCGTTGTTAGACTATCTGTTGATGGCACACCCATTAGAGAGTTCAAGAACCTAGAGGCATCCATTGGAGTTCCTTTCCCAAAGAGCCAACCAATGAGGATTTTCTCTAGCCTCTGGAATGCTGATGACTGGGCAACAAGAGGTGGGCTGGTCAAGACAGATTGGTCACAAGCTCCATTCGCAGCCTCCTATCGAAACTTCAACGCCAATGCTTGCGTATGGTCTTCTGGTGCATCTTCTTGTAGCTCATCATCATCTTCGACATCAAGACCTACCAGTAAATCGTGGCTCACAGAAGTTCTTGATACCTCAAAGCAAGAGAGGCTCAAGTGGGTCCAAAAGAATTACATGATCTATAACTATTGTATAGATATAAAGCGCTTCCCACAAGGCCTCCCTCCTGAATGTAGAATAAAACTCTAAATGGATGTAATAAAATAAGAGTTATTTACATTAACACCTCTGGGGTTTCACATTTGCTTTCATAAAAACCCATTCCATTAATTTTCCCCCTAAAATAAAGTTGTTGATGTCATAATTTTGTTTTCCAAATGACAATGTTGACCTCAAAGATTAGATTGCACACACTGTAAGCTCTAATTATTGAGGCTAAATTTGTCATTTTAAGAAGTTTTTAAACATTAAATCATCAATTTTTTCGATGAAAAATGAAAGAAAGAGATTTGTGAAAATAATTTGTAATCGCAAAGATATTAGTGTAGTTTCAAAAACCTCAAGGCTTTTGTTACCAACCTTACTCTAGAATTGTGTATTCTTATTAATAGTATCTTTATATGATTAGTTTTCAATTATGTATTACTGATTTCGGTTACTTTACTGATTTACCACTGTCCTTTATGACTAGAGTAGAACCAAGAAGAATTTTGTTCTTTTCTGAGTTTGCAAGAAACTTTTCTTGAGGATCAATTCCCCAAATGAAGTCAGAAGTAGGTTTCAATTTTTGAGATGCGATGCAGTAGGAGGTGAGTCTTGGACTGTTATCATGACCAATTGTTATATGACAACACATTTGAATAACTTGCGTATTCTGAACAATTCATTTCTAGTTAAAGAACTAATTCCTTCAACATTAATGCTACTTGTACCCCGTTCTGACAGTGGTGGTGACAACCTTTGAAATATAAGTCGCCCAAATGCATGTGTAGGGTTTTGAAAACATATAATGTTGAAGATAAAATACATTAAAGAGTGATTTAAAAAAGAGATAATAAGAAGAAACTAATTGTTGTTTAAAATTTAAAATCTTTTATTTTCATACAACGATTTATAAAATGATGTAAGTTTCTTTTATTAAAACCATTAACAAATAAATATATATTTATTTCAATACAAGCGATAGTCTAAATTATGAGAGAATGAGTTTCATGGAGGGGCATGCATATACATATGAAACATATAAAGCACAAATAGATAAAAAGAGAGACAAATAAATAAAAGACTATAATGAACAAATTTGATTATAAATAAAAAGGAGGAGTTCGGTGATCGTAACAGTTTGCAACATCAACCATGTCATGCAATGCAATTTTTAGGCCCAAACAGGTATTGCCTAACGCTTATGATGATTTTGTTTTCTCCTCCCACCTGTTCAAACGTGTGGATATGGCTTTTGGTCCACAACATAGTGGTGGGGTGGTTTGGTTTTGGATAGAACCAAGCAAATGGTCTAAGTTTTGGTGAAGGGAAGGCTAAAGGTGAACTGGGCCTCACCTCCCCATGCGAACACTTTCCCCACTGAAAAAATCTGTTCAAAACCGCGTCCTGTAAATGGGTTGTTTTTAGCCCCAATAATTCCCCTTTGCATTTATGAGAAATCTAACTGGGCACAGCTAGCAAATTCAACCTTCCAATCTCCTTACCTTCAGTCAGAACCACATCATCTCCACTACTATATAAAGCACAAGCCATGCTATATTTCTATGCACTCCAAACTCTCATATCAAAGCAATATAGCTTTCTCTCTCTCTCTCTATATATCACTCTCCATCTGAATATTTCTCCTCTCTTTTTACTCATTTCCAAATAAATGGCTTCCTTTAAATCATCTCTTTCATTTATACTACTGATTGCTCTTCTTGCTGCTAGCTTTATGGTGGTTGCCAATGCTGGTAACTTCAACCAGGACTTTCAGATAACATGGGGAGACGGTCGAGCTAAGATTCTCAACAATGGCGAGCTTCTTACTCTCTTACTTGACAAAGCCTCTGGCTCTGGCTTTCAATCCAAAAATGAATATTTGTTTGGCAAGATTGATATGCAGCTCAAGCTTGTCCCTGGAAATTCTGCTGGCACTGTCACAGCCTACTATGTAAGTTCATCTTTGGAATATTTGTTCCACTTTCATTTTCTTGAAGCTTTCTTGTATCTGACTGATTTATTGAATTTTTTGTTGATTTTTGCAGTTATCCTCAAAAGGGTCAACCTGGGATGAGATAGATTTTGAGTTCTTGGGGAACTTGAGTGGTGATCCTTACATTCTTCACACCAATGTCTTCAGCCAAGGCAAAGGAAACAGAGAGCAACAATTCTATCTCTGGTTTGACCCAACTGCTGATTTCCACACCTATTCAATTCTTTGGAACCCACAGCGCATTGTGTAAGTAACCCAATAACCCAAATCTTGTTCAAATCAAGTTTCAACTTTCAATTGCTAATGCGGTCTTAGATTTAGTGGTAGAACTGTTGGCAACTTGGCATGCAGACTAGTGGTCTGCGATCCCTCATGCCACCGTGTGGTCTGCGGTTCAAATATATGTATTTTTTTCCTTCTATAGTCCATTCTCCACTAACTTTACTCTGTGTTTGCTCTGTTTCAGCTTCTCTGTAGATGGCACTCCCATCAGAGAGTTCAAGAACCAAGAATCCAACGGTGTTCCGTTCCCAAAGAACCAACCAATGAGGATCTACTCAAGCCTTTGGAATGCAGATGATTGGGCCACAAGGGGTGGGCTTATCAAAACAGATTGGAGCAGAGCTCCTTTCACTGCTTCCTACAGGAACTTCAATGCCAACAATGCTTGTGTTTCATCAAATGGAGCTTCTTCATGCAGCTCATCAACTAGCAACGCATGGCTCTCAGAAGAGCTTGATTTAACGAGGCAGGAGAGGCTGAGATGGGTGCAGAAAAACTACATGATCTATAATTACTGCACTGACGCTAAGCGATTTCCCCAGGGCCTCCCTACAGAATGCAAGTCATAAATGGCTTAAATTAAACCCATGTTTTAATTCTTTAATCTAAAATTCTTTTGTTCTTTTTCCATGCGTACCTTATTCAGTGTATTTTTTGTTGTAATATAACTTCACGTTCTAATAATATATACCCTTCCTCATCCTCTCTCCCTCTCTTTCCACTTTCCTAGAGCTCTTGTTGGTCTCTCTCTTCCCTTCCTCTTCTCCTCCCCTTACCCTCTCCATATAGGGACGGACCCAAGATTTCAAAATGACGTGACCTAAATTTACCTTACGTACAAACGTGCTCAACAATACGATTGATAATTCATAAGTCTCAATTGTAAATCCCTAATTGATACTTCATAAACCCTAAATCTCCAAAATTTCAGCATCAACAAATTTAGAGAAGCATGGTTGTGATTTAATTGCATAAAATAATTATTGTTATTTAGTGGGTTAAGTGGAACTTTGAGGGCTGAAGTTGTTATATGCATAAGATACAAAAAAAATTAAGAGACCCAGCTCCCATATCATAGCCTTAATAGTAATGTAACTTTTTCTTCTTTTATCTTTTCTTTTACAAGCATAAAATCATGTCTGAAAGTTTAGGAGGCGTTTGGTATCCTATTTAAATAGGAAATTCAAAAACTTTGATTTTTTTTTTTAAACAAGGAGTTTTTAAATCTATTTTTAAGATTCAAAAACTTGTTTGGTATGCAACTTGAAAACTGTTTTCAAATCTTAAAAAATTGAGCACTTGTAGGTTATTAGAAAAAAACTAAAAAAACGGATTTTTTTGTTTTTAATAATTGGGGTGTTTTTTTAGTTGTTTTTGAGTTTGAGTTTTTAAAAATATGGCTACCAAACAGGTTTTCTTTGTTTTGGACTCAAATTCTGTTTTTATGTCTATTTAATGGTCTAAAATTACTTAGAATCAAACTAGAGACATAAAGCTTCACATAACAGAAATTTAGAGTCTTTTTATGTCTATTTAATGGTCTAAAATGACCTACAAACTTAACTTTATAAAACCTGCCAGCACAAAACTTTTCCAGAACAAAGGTTACTTAAAAATTTGCCAAAATTTAAAATCCATATTCAATAACCACGAAAATTTGCAGTCTATGAGAAGACACATATACGTTCATCATGCAAAAGCTACAGGTCATTTGGAAAGCTTCAGATGAGTCCAGAATCTGTCAGGAAAATTTATGTGCATCTGTATCAACTTTATAAATCCACCAAAAATTCAATACTTAACAAATTTACATGAAATCAGTGTCTAAAGAAAACTTAGAAAGGTAATTCTATTATGAACTAATTTGACACAAGAGATATCCAAACAGACATCATATCTTGAGATTTCAAAACTGAAAACTGAACCAAAATTATGAGAACTGACATGTACCTTGAGTGCTTTGGAAATACTTATGCGTCCAAATTTTATGTACTCTATGCCACTTGAAAACTAAACCAAATAAGTCAGTGTTCTCCAAACAAAAAACAACATGATATTCTTGAAACAAACTGCAGAGGATTTAAATGAATAGAGTTCTTAAAAACTGATGTTCTTTAACAAGGTTAAAGCTCAAGTTTCTTTTAGGCTATCATTTAAAACATCTTTAATCCCACAACTGTATGTACAAGAGAATACAACCTGTTTATAAAAACTAGATCACAAGACTAAACCACAACATGTCTTATCTTCTGCCATTATGAATTGAACCATACTAGTCCTCATTTGAGAGGAAAACTTCATAATGCCATTTTGATCATTTAGCCTTGAATATTTAAGATGTTGTATTCGAAGAAGTGCTTTGGCAATTCAACCAATACAAAATCATTCCTTAAACATGATCACTGAAACTTTAGTTAAATCTGGAGGGAAATTTAACTTTGATGGCATGTAGGTGCTCATCTCATATTTTATTTTCTTTAGTGATGAAATTATCTTTCTTTACCGTATGAAAATAAATTCTGTAACAAGTGCTCTTGCTACAACACCCAAAAAAACAAAGCTATATGCTACTTCAATCTTTAGAATCAAGCCAATTCATTTATACACCCTGTTAGACAGCTTCAATTCTCCTTATTTCTATTCCTGATAGTTTTTCTGAAATCAATTATTTTAGATGCACAGCCCTAACAGTCTAAGACTTTTCCTTGTATGCTTTTCTGGTTGTATACTATATATTCCTTTTACTAGAGTTGCATTAAAGCATATCAGAATTTCCAGATTCATTAATAACCAAAACTTAATTATCAAGGCTTGTAATTCAATGTATACATAATAAATTCATAAGTAAAAAAATAAAGCAGATCAATTATGTTTAGTCATAAGAAGACAATCCAACAAAATGAAAAGAATGTGAAACCTGGGAGAAATAGGCTCCTTTAGATATGCTCGTATGCTTGATACTGGGCTTAAAGAACAAAAGAACAGAACCAGACCCACCCTGGCACCCAGATCCGCCTAGCGCTGCCTAGACCCGCCTAGCGCCGCCTAGACCCGCCTAGCGACGCCTAGCGCCGCCCAGACGCGCCCAGGCCGCCTAGGCCGATTGTTCGTAATGCAGAGTATGGATTTTTCGTAATCTAGAAGCCTCTGCTTTTCATCTGCTACGAGTATATACACCTGCAATGAGAGAGAGAGAGAGAGAGAGAGAGAGAGAGATAGAATCAATATATGTTTACAGATTTTCTTCTCATTTCTTGCCGCCCCTTCTAACAACTTTAAACCCTTACTGCGCAGCAGCCTCCTCCGCCCACACAAAACCCATCGCATCACTATCCCTCCTCCCCACCCTCTCACACTTTGCACAAAACTCCTCTCTCTCTCTCTCTCTCTCTCTCTCTCTCTCTCTCTCGTATGTGCAGCCATGTGTTTCCTACGTGTGTGTGTGGTGAGAGCGCAATTTTGTGATTTGCCATATTCGTGGACTCATATGGCCTTTTATAATTTTGAAGGAAGAGTTTGACATTTATTTATAGCAAATCGTATAGCCGAATGGCTATCCTCTGCTAGCGCATTTTCCAAAACAGTGTAGCCGTACGGCTATACCCGGGCATTTTTTCAAAAAAATTAGTACATCCGCACAGCTATACTTGTTTTCACACGTGGTCGCTCCGGCGCTAGGCGGGTCCCTCTTTTAAATTTATAAATAGTATAGCCGCTCGGCTATTCTCAGGCATTGTTCAAATCAAACAAGTATAGCCGCCGGCTGTACTGGTTTTCAGACGCGGCCCTAGGCGGGTCTAAGTATAGCCGAGCGGCTATACTTTTTTTTTTTTCTTCCCCAAAATAGTAGCTGTGCGCAAGTACTTTTTTTTAAAAAAATTTTGTAGTGACCTAAACTACTCGAATCAGCGCCTAAGCTCCCTACCGTCAATTTCTCATTGAAGTGTTCATGATCATGTGTTGCAGGTTTTGGTGATTGTATCCATGCCTGAGTCAAACATAGTATAGCCGCATGGCTGTACTGTTGTTAAAAGTAAAAACTAGAGGTATGTTGTTCTTGCTTTTCTTGAGTTTGAATCGTGGTTGCCCATTTTTCTCACGTTTATGAATAGAAGGTAGATGCTCAAATTCCTCAATGATGATTTGAATTTAATCTACATATCAATGCTCTTGGAATATCCTTTCATGTTTATTGTGAAAAGTTTTGTTCTTGGTTTATGACAATCACCCACATTTTCTATGTTTGAAAATAGAGGGTAAAAATTAATGACAGACAATAGCAGTGATCCTGAAACTGAAAGTTACCCCCTGCCCATGATCCATCAGCTTTCTTCAAGATCACTTCCATCATAGCCACTTGGTATATAGTGCTTGGTCTAGACTTATCAGTAAAGTGCTGTACTTTGATTTGGATTTGTATATCATTGTTTCTTCAATTTTTTATTTTTGGAATTTTGACATGAAAGGCACGATGCTTGTGGTTTGTAGGTTGTTGGGTACCTTAACAGCAAGCAGGCGGCACTGTTCCAAAGAATGATTTGGGAAGCAATGAACAAGGACTATGATAAGGTAATGCCTTTGGAAATCCATAAATTTTATCATATGTGTGTTCATAAGGATTCGGTGCAATGCTAGGGGCTTTCTTAGTTTCTGTTTGTCATTGAGGTTATGTAGTTAATCATGATTATCAGCCCCCGCATTATTTGCCTCTTCATTCTCCTTAGCTCTGTGATTGTGCAGGAATTCTTCACTTTTAAAACTGACCTCGTTTCTTGTATTTGAGTTTATGTTTGCTGCATGTCACATGTGCATTGTGATCTGAAGCATAGGCTTGGAAGTCTCATCCAGCTTGGAGTTCTTGCCTAGTTCTGAGCTGTTATTTGAGTCACACACTGCATAACTGTGTTGAAAGTTTTCACTTCAATCTTATTTGCATTTGACTTATTTTTTAATCTTTCGACTATTTGTGAATGTTTTACTGCCAGCATTGAGTCTTATGTATTGATCTCTATATGCAACTATAAAATTGGCAGGGAAAGAATAGAAAACGAGCCATAATGGCCAAGATAGCTGCTCTTGCAAAAAAAAGGTTGCAATGTAGTTCCTAGTTAAAAATCCTGGCAGGTTTTAGAAAATGGAGGTATCTCTCTGCGAGTAATTGCCTGAACTTTAATAGATACTGAACTTGATTCATCTGATCTTTTTCTTCATGTGTAAAATCAGGGTTATGCACCTGCATTTGAGGAAGGCACAAAGTCTAATTGTGGCAGTCTTGGTGATATGTAACTGTCAAATGAGAAGAACAGTCATGATGATGAGTTTGAGCATGAAAGTAATGGTTACAGTGAAAAGGCTGAAGCCAGACAAGGCCAAGATGACGATTCATATGTTGCAAATGACAAATATAATGGATACAATTACGATGATGAATGCAATTATGATGAGGAATGCGATTTTGATGAATTGACTTGAGTAAACAACTCTTTTTTTTCTTGATTTAGATTATTTTTTCATGAACCAGTTGTATCATGTTACGATCTAAAGATTAAGCAATTGAATCTTCTGGTTTTTAACAACTTTTTCGAATTGGTATCAGTCTGAGGAGAGATGCTATTGAGCATTGTTTGCATGCGAAACTCTTTGAACTATAACCATGAGCAAAATTTGTAAATTGGAACACTGAATTGTTGGTTTAAAGTTGTTCACAGTTTATTGAGTGTATAGGGAGAAGCACCAGTTTGACAACAATGTTTCCCCTGTTTTCTTCTTCCTAAATTCAACACTGACAACACCAAAAGGCTTCTCAATATTCTATACAAGTCTGAGGAAAATTTCAATTGATCATTGATTTGTATCTCAAACTGTGAATTTATATATTTCAGTTAAAAGAAATTCTATTCAATGTTGAAAAATCGATTCTATAATGACGTTAGTAAGGCTTAGTTTCCACATCATCAAACTGCTCGGCAATTCATCATCCTTGACAATTTGACATTTTGTCGTCCAAAATATCCAATAAGGCCTTGTTTCTTCATTGCCGAATCAAAGACACTCGAATATTTTAACATTATAGCCGAACGGCTATACTATTTAAATATATTCCAGACGAATACGAAGCTTGCACTCGCAGTCAAGCCATTTCGCTTCCCTATCAACTCAAGCTTCGATTTGTTGTCTCTGGTTACGGCTGCTTCGTCCTCCGGGTTCGGCAACGAAAAAAGACACAACCCGCCTAGGCGCCCGCCTAGCCACCGCCTAGCCACCGCCTAGCGCCCGCCTAACCGCCTAGCGACCGCCTAGGATCCTCGAGCCCGCCCAGGGACCGCCTAGTGGCCTCGCGCCGCCCAGCGACCGCCTAGCAACCACCTAGCCGCCTCGCACCTTCCTAGCGTCAGCCTAGCCTCCTCGAGCCTGCCTAGGGACCACCTAGCCACCTAGCCGCCCGCCTAGGCCTATTTTTCGAACACTGTGATTGACTGAAAGTCTGAAACAACAATGGCCTCTTTCAGCGTCCTTTGGCTTCTTTTGCAGTCTATGCTTTCTCAGCTGCTTCTGGTTCATGTGTCCATGGCTCAAAATGCTACTATCGATCCATCTGAAGGTACTAGCCATCTTTCAGGTATAGCATAAATACGTTATGTGATGTGTACGCAATGATTGAATTGAGAATGCAGTGACGGCGTTGATCTCAATATTCAAGCAATGGGACATGCAAGCCCTGCCTATCAGTGGATGAGAGCACTGCATTGGATTTTCCATCAATGGAAGCGAGTTTGAAAAGCCAGAAAATAATCCATCCTCTCTCTCTCTCTCTCTCTCTCTCTCTCTCTCTCTCTCTCTCTCTCTCTCTCTCTCTCCTTTTTTTTTTTCTTTTTTTTTTTTTACTGTAGCAAATCAATTAATTATCAAGTTTAGAAAACTAAGCAGAACATGCCTGATATATCAATTGTAATATTAAGTGCCTAACTGCTCAATCTTTTTTCTTTCCAGTCGAGTTCATGCTCTGAACAAACGAGGGGTGTTTCCAAAAGAATTTGAGGCTTTAAGATATTTGGCCGTTTTGTATGAAGTTTTTCCAACCCCTTTCTCTGTTGTTTGGTTTATCACAGTTGACATTTTCATATAAAAGACACAGGTTTCTTACCGTTCAAAGTTGTCACGAATATTTTTAATACTCAGAGATTAATCGCTGGTCATTGCATTTTGTTTCAATTCTTGTAGGAAACTTGATCTGAACTATTTCACCGGTCCCCTACCAGCATTCGTCGGCAATATGTCTGCGTTGACAGTATTGTAAGTAGTGAAGCATAGACTCACCAGTGAGTTATACCATATGGCCAAAGAAGCACAAAAAATTACTCTGTTTTTATCCTGAATTATAAACGGGTGCAAATATCTTTAATTGATATTTCCATTCAGGTCAGTTGCCCACAATTCATTCTCTGGGCCCATCCCCAAGGAGCTTGGAAACCTTAAGGAGCTAACTATGCTGTAAGCAAAGACAACTGAGAAATGCTCTATTGGGACATGTTAAATATAGAACCCCCTATCATTTAATTCTATACCTCTTCAACATGACTTGTTGCAGGTCCTTTGGATCAAATAATTTCTCCGGAACACTCCCTCCAGAACTTGGTAACTTAGTCAATCTCGGGCTATTGTGAGTGCTTCATTTAACTCATCGAATTTGAATCACATGTTTATTATTTTCACAGTAACATGGACAGCTGTGGACTCGGTGGAGAAATTCCTTCAACATTTGCTAAGCTCATCAACATGAAAATCCTGTAAGTTTTTTGTTTATTCAGTACTTTGAGATTTCTATTCTGGGATGAGCTTACTATGAGTCAACTTTTTAAATTTTAGCTATGCATGACAATCCTTTCTCAGGAAGATATCTTCTTTCATTGGGAATTGGAGAAAACTGACTTCTTTGTAAGTATGGCAAACTTTTAACCTTCTGCAGTTTATGAAAAGCAGATCTGCATGGCTGAGATGGGTCTTTATACAAGCATCTCAAATGTAGTAGGAGATTTCAAGGGAACTCTTTTGAAGGCCCAATACCAACCAGTTTTTCTCAACTGACTTCATTGGAGTCTCTGTAAGGGCAAATGCTTAATACATTTTAAACTCTCTCTCTCTCTCTCTCTCTCTCTCTCTTCCCCCCCTCCATTTACTGGGCATCATTTCTGTTTGTGTATGATAATGAAGGCGAATCAGTGATATATATTATGTGAGCTCGTCTCTTGATTTCATAAGAAATTTGAAGAACTTAACTGATTTGTAAGTTAACACCTCATTCATTCACGCACTGTGATCAAACTTCGTTTTCCTTTTCAAATTGAAAATCTTACTCCATTTACTTGTCCACTAATTTTTTTTGGTGGAGTAACAGAGTTCTACGGAATACATTAATCAATGGTAGCATCCCTACTAATTTTGGATAATATCAACGTTTACAGATACTGTACGTTCCAGCAGATATATAAGCTTGAATCCCAAAGATACCAATTCATTTTCTTATCATTCTAATTGTTCCTCTAACTTATCACTCATGTTGCAGGATCTGGGTTTCAACAATGTAACAGACGAACTCCCAAGTTCTTTGTTCGACATGAGTTCTCTTACATATTTGTAATAATGCCTGCCTTCATTATTCCCCTTTTCTGTACTTATGCCATTGAATTTCCTGCTCAGAAATTTAGTCGTTCATCTCACCTTTTTCTTGTTTCTTTGTTTCTTTGTTTTTTTATTTTTTATTTATTTATATTTATTTTAAATATTTCTGGGTGCCTCCTATAATTGATATGGCCAGATTTCTTGGAAACAATAGTCTGTCTGGACCTCTTCCAAGCCAAAAGAGCAATCAACTTCAAACTAATGTCATAAAAGTATGCTATATGTACTGGCAATGAAACCAGTACTCTGTGTGCGCGCGCGCATTCTGGTAGCCTTTTTCTTACTTAAATTCCTTTGAACTTTCATGCATTTTTGTGCCTTCTCATTCTGTATTGTTATGTGCAGAGATTTGTCTTACAACTATTTCTCAGGAAGCTTCCCCCATGGGTAACCACAATATCGCAACTGTATTGACACTTCCACTCCAGTATTGACACCAATGTTTTCAAAGGCGAGGCGTATAGGCGAGCGTTTTTAGTAGTGCTATGCGAGGCGTAAGCCTTGAAGCGTTGAGGCGTAAGCCTTTTGAACATTAATTTATTTTAATAAGAAAAATTTATGATTAATACAATACGATTAAATTGTACAACTAATTCTTATTCAACCATAACAGTCATTTAAATATAATCAAATATAAGTACTAATTGTCATTCAAAGCATAATAATCAATTCCAAAACATAAAATATTTATTCAACATCAAAACAAAAACATAATTCACTCATCCCACTTCTCAACACTAATATCATAGCTATAAAACAATACCATTAATATTTCTAAGATATAAGTATGATGCATGTACGTCATATTTCTATTATATCACATAAACGAATAAGATAACTAGTATATTTATAAATAAAAATTGAAAAAAAATTATACGAAACTTCAAATTACAGTT